TACAACAGTGGACCCCCTCTGATGGCACATCTTCGCCGGTTTGAAACGTTCAGGCTGGCCTTGCCGACGATTCATGCTGGGTATAACCACGAGACTGGATCACAGTGTGAGGAGCTCACAGACAGAACCTTGAGTGATCTCGACGCAGTTCCCATCATCGGTGAACTCCTCCGGCTGGCGAGGCTGCGTTGGCTGCGTCAAGTAGGCCGCTTTTGTCCGGAAGGAAGGCCTCTCTTGTGAGCACGGTTGGCTACGTATGGTGCGAAAGAAGTTCAACATACTGCCCATAGACTCACACTGCCCATAGACTCACACTGCCCATAGACTAACACTGCCCATAGACTAACACTGCCCATAAACTCAACACTGCCCATAAACTGAACACTGCCCATAGACTAACACTGCCCATAGACTCAACACTGCCCATAGACTCACACTGCCCATAGACTAACACTGCCCATAGACTAACACTGCCCATAGACTAACACTGCCCATAGACTAACACTGCCCATAGACTCAACACTGCCCATAAACTCAACACTGCCCATAAACTCAACACTGCCCATAGACTAACACTGCCCATAGACTAACACTGCCCATAGACTAACACTGCCCATAGACTAACACTCCCCATAGACTAACACTACCCATAGACTCAACACTGCTCAAAGACTAAACATTACCCATAGAATACACATTGCCCATAGACTCAAAACTGCCCATATAATTAACACTGCCCATGGACTTAACACTGCCCATCGTCTCCACACTACCCATAGACTCAACACTCCCCATAGGTAATAGTAATAGGTTTTTACCCTTTTATCTGGCACAAAAACTGACACCTTTATACAAGGGATCATGTTTGCAATAACCACAACACAAGCAGTCAAAATGCAAACAAAAGAGACAACTCTGATAATAATATGCACTGTCCTAGAATTTGATTGGTCCACACCTGAGACGACTTTTCTTAGAGCCTAGTCTCCACTGGTGTTGGACCAGAAGACGCCAAAAGGCATACAACTCAAAAACAGCGCACTATCAGAGTATTGAGGGCTCGGGGTAAGCACTTACATTATGGTCCAACACCAGTGGAGACTGGGCTCTAAGAAAAGCCGTCTCGGGTGTGGACCAATCAAATTCTTGGACAGTGCATATCATTATCAGAGTTGTCTCTTTTGTTTGCATTTTGACTGCTTGTGTTGTGGTTATTGCAAACATGATCCCTTGTATAAAGGTGTCAGTTTTTGTGCCAGATAAAAGGGTAAAAACCTATTACTATATCTTGTTACTAGCAAAGGAGGTCTCATAATGTAAATGCTCACCCCGAGCCCTCAATACTCTGATAGTTCGCTGTTTTTGAGTTGTACGCCTTTTGGCGTCTTCTGGTCCAACACGAATGGAGACTAGCCTCTAAGAAAAGCCGTCTCGGGTGTGGACCAATCAAATTCTAGCACGGTGCATATTATTATCAGAGTTGTCTCTTTTGTTTGCATTTTGACTACTTGTGTTGTGGTTATTGCAAACATGATCCCTTGTATAATGGTGTCAGTTTTTGTGCCAGATAAAAGGGTAAAAACCTAAACGAGATAAAAAGACGCTGCAAGGTGACACCGACGGCTGATCTGTGCTGCTTGCAGTGTTCAGGGGCCTGCTCAAGGCGCGGCTCCGGCTGGAGCACGCCACGTGACACACACACGTGCCGGTGATGTGCAGCGCGTCTGCCTCGAACGCTGGGGAGCCGGACAAGCCCCTCTCTGTACTAGCGTGGACGTCACCCCCCACGTGTTCACCTTCTGAATCGCTCGCTCGTCACCGTGACGTGCGCGATGACCACCACCACCACGTGACTTTTATTTCGTGTTGTGCGCGGTGCTTTTTAGCGCCACAGCGCGTGGATTTGTAACGTTTATTTTCATTTGTGCTGCTGGTGACTTTGTGTATCTCGTATCGAAATCGCCTCCAGTGCTTTTGCTGCTGGCGGCAATGAAAGTTGTTTAAACAACAGTCAAAGTTTGACTCTCACTCTCTTCCTTGCTCTCTCTCTCACTCTCTCACTTGCTCAATCACTCTCTCACTCTCTCATCCTCTCTCGCTCTCTCTCTCACTCTCTTCCCAAAACACAAACACATGGTTGGGCAAACACAGAACGCAGATGAAACGCCAGGGCAGAAGCGAGAGGGAGAGAGCGGGGAGGTGGACTTGCGACTCTCGGGGGGCGTGTGCCTGCGTCAGCTGCAGTGGAGCCTGTAACCCAGTAGTGCCGGGGTTGGTGGGTCGCACACAGATGGCGTTGCGAAACTCCCTCCCTGCCCCCTGGCTCTGTGACACGAGAGTTGGCCATTGTGTGCCTGCGGTGGCAGGGCCCAAACACACTCACCAATTCATTCATCAACCCAGCCACTCACCATCTCACCCGCCCACCCACTCACCAGCTCACGCATCCACTTGCCATCTAACGCACCCACTCGCCATCTCACCCACCCACTCACCATCTCACCCGCCCACTCACCAGCTCACGCACCCACTCGCCATCTCACCCACCCACTCATCATCTCACCCACTCACCAGCTCACCTATCCACTTACCATCTAACACCCACTCACCATCTCACCCGCCCATTCACCAGCTCACCCGCCCACTCACCAGCTCACGCATCCATTTACCATCTAACGCACCCACTCGCCATCTCACCCACCCACTCACCATCTCACCCACTCACCAGCTCACCCACTCACCAGCTCACCTATCCACTCACCATCTAACACCCACTCACCATCCCACCCGCCCACTCACCAGCTCACCCAGCCACTCACCATCTAACGCACCCACTCACCATCTCACCCACCCACTTACCATCTCACCCACCCACTCACCATCTCACCCACCCACTCACCATCTCACCATCTCACCCATCCACTCACCATCTCACCCACCCACTTACCATCTCACCCACCCACTTACCATCTCACCCACCCACTTACCATTTCACCCACCCACTTACCATCTAACCCACTCACCAACTCACCCATCCACTCACCATCTCACCCCCCCACTTACCATCTCACCCACCCACTCACCATCTCACCCTATCACCAGCTCACCTATCCACTCACCATCTAACACCCACTCACCATCTCACCCGCCCACTCACCAGCTCACCCATCCACTCACCATCTAACTCACCATCTCACCCACCCACTTAGCATCTCACCCACCCAATTACCATCTCACCCACCCACTCACCATCTAACGCACCCACTCACCATCTCACCCACCCACTTACCATCTCACCCACCCACTTACCATCTCACCCACCCACCAGCTCACCTATCCACTCACCATCTAACACCCAATCACCAGCTCACCCACCCACTCACCATCTCACCCACCCACTCACCATCTCACCCACCCACTCACCATCTCACCCACCCACTCACCATCTCACCCACCCACTTACCATCTCACCCACCCACTCACCATCTCACCCACCCACTCACCATCTCACCCACCCACTCACCATCTCACCCACCCACTCACCATCTCACCCACCCACTTACCATCTCACCCACCCACTCACCATCTCACCCACCCACTCACCATCTCATCCACTCACCATCTCACCCACTCACCAGCTCATCATCTCACTGATGGGTGAGTCGGTTCCCAGCTGGGCTGTACGGAGCTGCCGTGGCTATGAGATGTTGACTACCTCGCCTGGTATGCAGGATGTCGTGAGTTCGATCCTGACCATGACGCCTGCTGTAAATTTGGAGTTTGCGTCTCTCTCATCATCATCATCATCACGGTGGATAGGAGATGTTAACTCCCTCGCCTGGTACACAGGAGGTTGTGGGTTCGATCCTGACGCCTGCTGCTGTATATTTGGAGTTTGCGTGTCTCTCTCATCATCATCATCACGGTGGCTATGAGATGTTACCTACCTCGCCTGGTGTACAGGAGGTCGTGAGTTTGATCCTGACCCTGACGCCTGCTGCTGCTGTATATTTGGAGTTTGCGTGTCTCTCTCATCATCATCACGGTGGCTATGAGATGTTACCTACCTCGCCTGGTGTACAGGAGGTCGTGGGTTCGATCCTGACCCTGCCGCCTGCTGCTGCTGTATATTTGGAGTTTGCGGTGTCTCTCTCCTCCGCTTGTTCCCTCCACGTTTAGCAACGCGCGTTGAGATTATCTTGCCGCTCGTGAATTTCCGCATGATGATGATGATGATACCGCCACTCCGTTGAGCTATCATTTGTGGCCAGGTCGCTCATGAAAAATAAGTTAATACCTCAAGTGGGCTTTGACTTTGACGGCCGCTTGTGTTGCGATGGACACATCGTGATATCTTTCAGTCACTTTATCTTTTTTATTATTTTATTGTTATTATTTTTTTCTATCTACGTGACTTTACCGAAAGAGCCGTAGAATATGGGCTTCACCTGCTAAGATAAAACAATAATTTAGTTTTATTTCTATATTTGTAAGTGATTTGTTTACCTTTCTTTGGTTCTTTCGGTAAAAAGTGAATACAATTACCACGACGTTTCGATCGCAACACAAACGGTCGGTCGTCAGCAGGAAAAGGCGTTAGCCTCTAAAGGCAAACTGTTTATAAACAAACCGATGGAAACATCGTGATATTTTTATTCACTTATTTTTTCTATCTACGTGACTTTACCCAAAGGACCAAAGAATACCAATTCCTGCAGTCACGAAAGTTGTAAGTAAAATTTGTAACATTTCCGATACTTTTGCACTATCGTACTTTTTTGTATTTTGGTTGTTGTTGTTGTTGTAACGTTCTTACTCTGGGCCCCTCCTGGACATCTGTAGAAAAAAAGAGCTTTATAGCTTGTCAGATTCCTGCTGTCTTAAATACTGATTCTGACGTAGACCCTGACTTGCGTGTGTGTGTGTGTCGTGTGTGTGTGTGTCGTGTGTGTGTGTGTGCCGTGTGTGTGCCGTGCGTGTGTGTGCCGTGTGCGTGCCAGCATCAATCAGCCATGGCGTCGTCGTTCATCCCGGTGCCCGCCGACTCCGACTTCCCCATGGAGAACCTCCCCTACGGCGTCTTCTCCACACGCGACAACGTGAGCCTCGCACACGCACGCACACACACACACACACGCACACACACACACATACAGACACACACAGACACACACGCAGACACACACGCACACACACAGACACACGCACACAGAAACACGCACACAGACACACACATACAGACACACACATACAGACACACACGTAGACACACACATGCAGACAGACACACACGTAGACACACACATGCAGACAGACACACACATACAGACAACAACAACAACCGCCATTCGCCACTAAGTGGCGGTGACGTCACCACGACGCTTGTGCCAGGCTATGTGCACCCTGAGGCCACGTGAAGTGTCGAACGCCCGCTGGCAGGAGGTCACGGGGCAGACCCAGGTGCCACGGGTCGACTGACTGAGATGACTGGCTGATGCACCACCTGTGCCCCCTACTGTGCCAACCTGCTGTGCTTTAGCCACCCGGCGCTCCGCTCGCTGTTGTGAGCGTCGCTCCTCCGCCCTCTGTTGTTGTTGGAGGGCGACTGCCTCCAACTGCCCAGTAGCATCCTTCACGAGCCTCCTCCACAGAGGCCGATCTTGACACCGCTGGTACCAGTCATCGGCAAGTCCTCTCAGCTCCACGTCCTCCTGTACCACATCACTCCATCTCTTCTCTAGCCCGTGCCGCGCCCGCTTAGCCCCCTCAATCCGGCCAAACAAAGGCTGTTTCGGCATGCGGTGGCTGGGCATGCGGGCTACATGACCCAGCCATCGCAGCCTTGCCTGCCGGAGGAGCTCACCGATGGGACCCTGCCCAGATCTTTCAAGGATTTGTGAGCTCCTCACACAATCCAGTCTGGTTAAACCCAGGATGGATCGTAGGCAGGTCAGCCTAAATGTTTCTAACCGGCGAAGATGTTCCATTAGGGGGGTCCACGTTTCGCAAGCGTAGAGAAGGGAGGGAATGATCGTGGCCGAGAAGACCTGAAGCTTAGTGCGGAGCGACAGACCAGGTAGCTTCCACACAGCGTTACGCAACCGATGAAAAGATATTGCCGCTCGACTGATTCGGAGTGAGACCTCTGCTGTTAAACTGGAGCCAGTCATAAGCACACTGCCCAGGTATGGGAAACTCTCCACTCTCTCCACAACTGCCCCATCACCGATTGGGAGTTGTGGGGGTGGAGTGTCCGATGGTACAAAATACCCAGGCAGGTGCTTAGTTTTGGTGGGGCTGATGGTAAGGCCCCACCTCTTAGTGGCACGCTCCAGTCTCAGCAGCAGCGTCTCCAACTCCTCCTCTGACTGAGCAGCTATTACCAAGTCATCAGCATACATAACGTGGTTGAGCAATAGGGAGCCATCCCTTGACCGCACCCGGGCATCGATTAGCCTCCCATTATATCTGTACCATATGGAGATTCCCCCGGTACAGCTATTGAAGGCTTCACGAACTACGTGGTCAAAATAGATGTTAAATAATGTGGGAGCCAGAGGACATCCCTGTCGCACCCCAAGGTGTACAGGGAATGGCTCTGACTCCCGGCCACGTAGTTTTACCCGGGCCCGCTCACCATCATGAAGGTCCTTAATGATCGTGAGCAGAGGGTCAGGTACTCCAAAAGCACGAAGAACGACCCAGAGCCCAGGCCTACTGATGGTATCATAGGCCTTGACCAGGTCAATAAAGCAGAGATGTAGGTCTTGTTGGAATTCCCTACACCTCTGCTGTAGCAGACGGACAGAAAATATGGCATCTGTGCAGGACCGCCCTTTCCTGAAACCGCATTGGGGCTCCGCAAGCCTCTCCTCAGCGTGCCTGGCAAGGCGATGCTGAATAATCCTTGCCAGGACCTTTCCCGGCACACTGAGGAGTGAGATGCCCCTGTAGTTGTTACAGTCTGTGCGGTCCCCCTTCTTAAAAAGGGGGACCACCAGGGCATCCTTCCAATCCTGCGGAACCCGTCCAGTGGTCCAGACTGTTGTTATGATGTCATATAGGGCAGTCTGTGCACAAACGCCACCCTCCCTCAGCATTTCGCTTGGGAGATCATCTCTGCCCGCTGCCTTTCCTGGTCTCAGACTCCGGATCGCCTTCAATACTTCCTCAGCAGATGGCACCTCAGCCAGCCACTCACAGGGGGTGACTTCATCCAATATTTGAGGCACCGCAGCCTCAGCAGGGTCATCCTCACTTTGTGCCACGATGTTTTCCTGGCTGAGGGATTTTCCCTCCCCCAGGACCTCACAGAAATGCTCAGCAAATCTGCGAACCTGTTCCTGGGGGTCGGAAATTGGATCACCGTTTTTTCCCCTAATGATGGTAATAGGTGTGGCGCTGCAGGTTACTTTTTTGATGGAGTTAAATAGAGATTTGTGATCACGGGCCACTGAGGCAGACTCCATCTCCTCAGCAACCCGCGACCACCACCCATCCTTGCAGCGCCTCACGGCTCTCCGAACCTCCGAGCGAAGGCTGCGGTAAGCCTCCTCATTCTCTGACGTGGGATTCTGTAGCCGATGACAGTGGGCCTGTCGCTTTTTCTCAACCATCCTGAACAGCTCCTCTGTCATCCAGGGTGTCTGGGGAGGTCTGGACCGCGTACCCAAAGCAGCCATTGCAGCTGCATGAGTCACAGTCCTAAACCTCGCCCATTTACCCTCGACATCAGGAGGAGTCGGGGACGATGCCAATCCCAGCCGCAAGCGATGATGAAATTCTCGCTTGCAACTTTCATCAGATAACTGAGACCAGGCAACTTTAGGTTGGAATGGGGTCCTGGGTGTACACCCACCACCGGAGTGGAAGAATGGCAGGCGCATCTTACAGATGACTAGTCGATGGTCAGAGGGCAGATCAGCTCCACGGTAGGTCCTGGTGTCAAGGACATGGGCTCGCATTCGCTGGTCCGTCACTATGTAGTCCAGCAGATGTTCTTGCTTGGACCCGGCATGCATCCATGATGTTGTGTGGATGCGCCGATGCCGGAACAGCGTGTTGGTAATTACAAGCCCATGGGCTGCACAAAAATCTAGCAGCCTCCTACCGTTGTTATTGAGCTGATCTGGCCCATGCCCTCCAATCACTCCAGACCAGGTGCCAGTATCATGACCAACTCGGGCATTGAAGTCACCCAACATGATGACTCTATCCCGAGGTGCCACTTTAGCCAGCACCTGTGACAGGAGGTCATAGAAGGCATCTGACTCATCGGCTTTGCCTGCATCCCTCCACGGATGTTCATCTTCGGTGGGGGCATAAGTAACCACGACCACCATTCCTCGCCTCCGGTTGATGGGAAGGCGAGCCCAAAGTAGCCTGGGGCTTACAGCTTCCCACACCTCACCGCCACGCTCCCACGCCCCCTTCATTCTTTTGTTCAAAAGAGGACCCACACCCTGTTGTTTGGCAGTCTGCTGCCCCGAGTAGAGGACTGTCCACCCCTTATGGTGGCAGGAGCCAGAGCCGGTCCACCGGACCTCCTGAATGCCGCATAGATCCAGGCGGTACCGGTCCAGCTCCCGACAGAGGAGTGGCAGCCTCTCCTCTGCAGTGAGCGTTCGAACATTCCACGTGGCCACCCGTAGTGGCTTTTCGTTGTTTCTGGAGTAGCCCCGAGGGTAGGTATTCAATCTCCTGGCTCCGCCAATTGGGGTTTGGCCAGGAGACGTCATAGACGCCTGGCCCCCCGGGGCCTCCGGCACAAGCTTAGTTGTTACATATTTCAGTTTAATTCGTGGTTTTGTGGTAATTAATTGAAGGTGGAGGGGTTACCAGCCCCTCGCACCCATCCAGAGCCCCCGTTTAGCCCCTGTGGTGGACACATATGCCATGAGGGGAGGAGCCAATCAAAATTGGAACTCCCCCCACAGCGCTGTCCACGACAGAGTTGCCCGTCCGGCACCGCGAGGAGGTAGGGGGTTGTTTTGCCGGACTCACATACAGACACACACACAGACACACACACACAGACACACACGCACACACACAGACACACACACATGCAGACACACACACACGCAGACACACGCACACAGACACACACATACAGACACACACGTAGACACACACGTAGACACACGCAGACAGACACACACATACAGACACACACACAGACACACACACACAGACACACACGCACACACGCAGACACACACGCAGACACACGCACACACGCAGACACACGCACACAGACACACACAAACAGACAGACACACACACACAGACACAGAGCCCCACACACGCACAACAACCCCCATTCGCTACGAAGTGGGGGTGACATCACCACGGCGCTTGTGCACGTTGAGGCCACGTCAAGTGTCGAACGCCCGCTAGCAGAAGGTCACGGGACAGACCCAGTAGGTGCCAAGGGTCAGCTGACTGAGATGAGTGGCCGATGCACCACCTGTGCCCCCTACTGTGCCAACTCGCTGTGTTTTAGTCGCCCGGCGCTCCGCTCGTTGTTGTGAGCGTCGCTCCTCCGCCCTCCGTTGTTGCTGGAGGGCGACTGCCTCCAACTGCCCAGCAGCAGCAGCGTCCTTCACGAGCCTCCTCCACAGAGGCCGATCTTGATACCGCTGGTACCGGTCATCGACAAGTCCACTCAGCTCCACATCCTCTCGTACCATATCAGTCCATCTCTTCTCTAGCCCGTGCCGCGCCCGTTTAGCCCCCTCTATGCGGCCAAAAAGAACCTGTTTAGGCATGTGGTGGCTGGGCATGTGGGCTCCATGGCCCAGCCAATGCAGCCTTGCCTGCTGGAGGAGCTCACCGATGGGACTTTGTCCAAATCTTTCAAGGATTTGTGACCTCCTCACACAATCCAGCCTACTGGTTGAACCCAGGATGGATTGTAGGCAGGCCAGCCTGATTGGTTCCGTTAGGGGGGGGGTCCACGTTTCGCAAGCGTAGAGAAGGGATGGCATGACCATGGCCGAGAAGACCCGAAGCTTCGTGTGGAGCGACAGACCAGGTAGCTTCTTGGTCTGGATCACAGACACACACACAGACACATGCACAATGAGAAAGAGGCACACAGACACACACAGACACACACAGACACATGCACACACAAGGCCCTTCCCCCAACTCGCGACCGGGAGAGCCTGGATTGAAAAACAACCCACTTCACCCACCCCCCTTCACCCCCCCTTCACCCACCCCCCTTCATCCCCTTTCACCCCCTTTCACCCACCCCTGTTACTCGCTACTAACAGCACTTGCCCCAACAGTCTGCGTGGGCTACACAGTGGGGGGGGGGTACCTTTGTCTTTGTGTGTGGGCGCAGCCTCGGCCTAGGATCGGGGTGGCGATCGGGGACCACATCCTGGACCTGGGCGTGGTGAAGGAGGCCTTCAGCGGGCCCGAGCTTGCTCCTCACCAACACGTGCTCACCGAGGTGAGCGCCGCACGCACTCACTCACACACACATACACGCACTCACGCACTCACTCACGCACGCACTCACGCACTCACTCACGCACGCACTCACGCACTCACACACGCACTCACTCGCGCACTCACTCGCTCACGCACTCACACACGCACTCACTCGCTCACGTACTCACACACACACTCACTCACGCACTCACGCACTCACTCACACACTCACTCACACACTCGCTCACTCACGCACTCACTCACGCACTCACTCACGCACTCACACACGCACTCACGTACTCACTCACTCACGCACTCACACACGCACTCACACGCGCACTCACTCGCACACTCACTCGCTCACGCACTCGCTCACGCACTCGCGCACTCACTCACTCACTAACGCACTCACTCACTCACGCACTCACACACGCACGCACTCACACACTCACGCACGCCACTCAACTCGCTGACCGGCACTCGCTCATCTCGGCGATGATACTCATGATGCTGATGAAGAAGCTGATCCTGCTGCTGATGATAATGCTGATGAAGATTCTGATCATGCTGCTGCTGATGATGATAGAGTGGCGGTAAGTGCACTGCGAAACGAACCCGGCGGTTCGTAGCACAGTGCAGCGGTGACCCGGGTTCGATTCCCGCACACCGCCACCGGCACCACCACCTGTGACAGCGATTATCTGAACACGTCCTGGGCTTCCCCTAGGTCGACTCAGCCTCAAATGAGTACCTGGTATGGTGTGTAGTAAACATCGCCACTGGGGAGACAAAGGCGGCCGGACGTGGTGCTTCAACACCCACCCCCTCGTGTGCCGTGCCGACCTTCATAGGTCCTACTGCTCGCTTACAGCACTTTCCCCAACAGTCTGTTACAGGCTATATGGGGGGGGGGGGGGGGGGGGGGTACAGAGACTCCTCTACTTACGAACACTCGACTTACGAACTTTCATAAATACGAACAAAGCTGTCCGTACGTCCAGTTGCTTGTTCGAACCGAGAGTCGTAAGTTCACCCACCGCGGAATAGATGGTGGTGGTGGCATCTACATCTACAGAACGTGAAGAACCAGTAGCATCTACATCTACAGAACGTGAAGAACCAGTGGCATCTACATCTACAGAACATGAAGAACCAGTGGCATCTACATCTGCAAGAATATGAAGAACCAGTGGCGTCTACATCTACAGAACGTGAAGAACCAGTGGCATCTACATCTGTAGAACGTGAGGAACCAGTGGCATCTACATCTGCAGAACGTGAAGAACCAGTGGCATCTACATCTGCAAGAATATGAAGAACCAGTGACATCTACATCTACAGAACGTGAAGAACCAGTGGCATCTACATCTACAGAACGTGAAGAACCAATGGCATCTGCATAACATGCAGGATCAGTGGCATCCACATCTACAGAACGTGAAGAACCAGTGGCATCTACATCTGCAGAACATGAAGAACCAGTGGCATCTACATCTGCAGAACATGAAGAACCAGTGGCATCTACAGGAAATTATACAACGTTTAAAGCCATTCCCCGTGTTTAGTGTACACACCGTACAACGTGTTTGGAGTCGACAGGAGTAAAGTTGGACTTCACAATCGACTTATGAACAGACATCTCTGGAACCCAACTCGTTCGTAAGCGGAGGAGCCCCTGTACTCATTTGTAAGTGGAGGAGTCCTTGAACTCGTTCGTAGGTGGAGGGGTCTCTGTACTGGTTCGCAGGTGGAGAAGTTCTCGATTGGTTCGTAAGCGGAGGAGCCCATTGTGCTCGTACGCAAGTGGAGGAGTCTATTGGTTCAGGGTATGGAATTGATGTGGTTGAAGGAATTGGTCCAGAGCTGGTAGGCCATGTGGCCAGATGACGAACGTGTGTCATCTACGTACCTTTTCCAAAAGGAAGGACGTAGGGTGGATGCCTGGATGGCATCTGTCTCGAATTTGACCATGAAAACATTGGCTACAACCGGAGATAAGGAAGAACCAATTTGGGGTACCTTCAGCTTGTTTGTAGAATGTTCCATTCCATGTGAAGTAAGTGTTGGTGAGCCAGTGTCTGACCAGGGCCGCTACATCAGCATTCAGTCCTTGTTGGACCAAATCTTCAATGATTGCAACGGTGGCAGGCGCAGGAACTTTGGTAAACAAAGATACCGCATCGAAACTGACGAGCAAATCACCTGGAGATAGTGAGATGTCCTTAATTCACGATACCGTTGCTCGTTCTTACATTTACATGCAAATTGCATCACTAGCCCCGCCCAAATTTTGATCTAAAGCTTTCGTGACTGCAGGGATTCATATTCTTGGTTCTTTCGGTAAAGTCACTTAGAAGGGAAACAATAAAATAATAATATAAGACAATAAAAGCAATAAATTTTCTTGCTGTGCTTTTCACACCTGATGACGATTGCTTGCGTTGCAGTCGAAACGTCGTGAGAATTGTATTGTTTTATATTTGTATTATTTTATTGTTTCCCTTCTACGTGGTGGTGACTTAACCGAAAGAACCAAGAATATATAGCCCCGCCCACTTGGCTTATGACCCTTGGGCTCCGCCCATCTGAAACCTTTAAAACAACCTGCCTCAGCAGCTCTCTCGCAATTGTTTCACCTGATGACGATTGCTTGTGTTGCGATCGAAATGTCGTGATTTTTTTTTTCCTCTCTACGTGGCTTTTACCGAAATACCCAAAGAATATGGAGGAGTCTCTATTGGTTCGTAAGCGGAGGAGCCCCTGTGCTCGTCCGTAAGTGGAGGAGTCTCGATTGGTTCGTAAGCGGAGGAGGTTCAGTTGGTTCGTAAGCGGAGGAGTCAATTAGTTTGTCAGCGGAGGAGTCTCAATTGGTTCGTAAGCGGAGGAGCCCCCTGTGCTCGTCCGTAAGTGGAGGAGTCTCGATTGGTTCGTAAGTGGGGGAGCCCTTGTGTTCGTCCGTAAGTGGAGGAGTCTCTATTGGTTCGTAAGCAGAGGAGTCTCTATGGGTTCGTAAGTGGAGGAGCCGCTGTGCTCGTCCGTAAGTGGAGGAGTCAATTGGTTCGTAAGTGGAGGAGCCGCTGTGCTCCTCCGTAAGTGGAGGAGTCTCAATTGGTTCGTAAGCGGAGGAGCCGCTGTGATCGTCCGTAAGTGGAGGAGTCTCAATTGGTTCGTAAGCGGAGGAATCTCAATTGGTTCGTAAGCAGAGGAGCCCCTGTGCGCGTCCGCAAGTGGAGGAGTCTCTATTGGTTCGTAAGCGGAGGAGTCTCTTGGTTCTTTAGCGGAGGAGCCCCTGTGCTCGTCCGTAAGTGGAGGAGTCTCAATTGGTTCGTAAGTGGGGGAGCCCTTGTGTTCGTCCGTAAGTGGAGGAGTCTCTATTGGTTCGTAAGCAGAGGAGTCTCTATGGGTTCGTAAGTGGAGGAGCCGCTGTGCTCGTCCGTAAGTGGCGGAGTCTCAATTGGTTCGTAAGTGGAGGAGCCGCTGTGCTCCTCCGTAAGTGGAGGAGTCTCAATTGGTTCGTAAGCAGAGGAGCCCCTGTGCTCGTCCGCAAGTGGAGGAGTCTCAATTGGTTCGTAAGCGGAGGAGCCGCTGTGCTCGTCCGTAAGTGGAGGAGTCTCAATTGGTTCGTAAGCGGAGGAGCCTCTGTGCTAGTCCGTAAGTGGAGGAGCCGCTGTGCTCGTCCGTAAGTGGAGGAGTCTCAATTGGTTCGTAAGTGGAGGAGTCTCAATTGGTTCGTAAGTGGAGGAGTCTCAATTGGTTCGTAAGCGGAGGAGTCTATTGGTTCGTAAGCGGAGGAGCCCCCTGTGCTCGTCCGTAAGTGGAGGAGCCGCTGTGCTCGTCCGTAAGTGGAGGAGTCTCAATTGGTTCGTAAGTGGAGGAGTCTATTGGTTCGTAAGCGGAGGAGTCTATTGGTTCGTAAGCGGAGGAGCCCCCGTGCTTGTCCGTAAGTGGAGGAGCCGCTGTGCTCGTCCGTAAGTGGAGGAGTCTCAATTGGTTCGTAAGTGGAGGAGTCTCAATTGGTTCGTAAGCGGAGGAGTCTCTATTGGTTCGTAAGCGGAGGAGCCCCCTGTGCTCGTCCGTAAGTGGAGGAGTCTCAATTGGTTCGTAAGTGGAGGAGTCTCAATTGGTTCGTAAGCGGAGGAGTCTATTGGTTCGTAAGCGGAGGAGCCCCTGTGCTAGTCCGTAAGTGGAGGAGCCGCTGTGCTCGTCCGTAAGTGGAGGAGTCTCAATTGGTTCGTAAGTGGAGGAGTCTCAATTGGTTCGTAAGCGGAGGAGTCTATTGGTTCGTAAGCGGAGGAGTCTCTTGGTTCGTAAGCGGAGGAGCCCCCTGTGCTCGTCCGTAAGTGGAGGAGTCCGCGTGCCACCTTTTCTGGCCCCCCCGCACGAGCGCAGGCGTCTCTGAACGGGCTGATGGCGCTGGGCGGCGGCGCGTGGAGGGAGCTGCGTGAGGCGCTGCAGCGCCTCCTCGCCTCCACGGGAGGCGGTGGAGCCCTGCGGGACGACGCCACCCTGCGCCGGCGGTGAGCGCCGGCGGGGACGCCCCGGGGGACGCTGGCGACCAGCCCGGCATGGGGGGGGGGGGTGATGGCGGGGGTGGAGGGGGTTGCTGGGGGGGAAGGTGGGGGGTAGGCCTCGGCAAGGCAAGGTAACGTACCCCTTTTTACTGGGTGAAAGGGTAAACGTGTCGACCGTGGAGTAAGGCCGAGGGGTAGGGCCCAGGTAGCGTTGAAGTCTTACCCGCTAAATACTCTGTTTACCGCTCGCTCAAATCTCCGTGGCGCAGTCCGTGGCCTCCCTGTCAACCCGCGACCAGTTGGAGACGGACCGCGTTCTGGAGGTCGGGAACAGCAGTGGATGTGGGACAGCGGCGTGTGCCTTCCCGCGGGAGCACGCACGCCCAACGACCGGATGGAGGGGTGATCCCCGTGCGTGGCAAGGAACGCGGCAGTGCGTGCACCGCCGCGGGTGGTTTTTTTCCTCCCACGCGAACGCGCCGGGGTGAGAGAAGCCCCGCCTCAAGAAGCTCGCCGAGGCGCCGGAGGCCCCGGGCGGCGGGGCCGGCGCCTCGGCGAGCCGCCGGTAAAGTTTGAGAACGCGGTGGGTTGATTTTCGTTCACCCAAGGTGCAAATCTCCCTGCGAGCCGCCGGCAGCGACGAGCCCTTAGGGGGCCACACTTTGACGCGGGGATACGGGGGGGGGGCCCGTGGAGCCGCAGGCTTGTCGGGCTTCACGCCATCGTGCTGCCCGTCGCTCGGGGCGTTCTATCTCCTTTACCTGGACGTCGCCACCTCGCTCGGACGGTCACGGTGCACCGGATCGACACCACATCCGGCGCGGGGACCATTCGGTCCGGATCGAGCGGACCAAAGCGCCGAACTGCGCTCGGCGCTCGGCGCCGTCGGGCGCGGCGAGGTCGCCCGGCGGCCGTGCCGCCGCGGAGGCCGCGGTCGCCAAGCTCGCCGGCGAGGAGCCGACGAGCACGGGGCGGAATTCGACGTTTCGGCGTGGGCGACGGCGCCGTCAAAGGGGCGTGTCCCGTCGGACACCGTCGGGGCGCGCTTCCGGGATGCGAGCGGCGTCGGCGCCCTCTCCGGACGTGCAGTGGGCAGGCGTCGAGGGCTTGGCCCAGCGTTCCTTGCGAATGCCGCGCCAGGTCGCGACCCCGTCGTCGGCGGCGGCGGCGGCGGGCCGCAAGTCGGCATTGGATCCCGTACCGGTGGCGACGGAGCACCTGGTCCGTCGCCACCGGCGACCGCGGTGAAGCCGCCCTCCGAGCGGTCGACGAGCCCTTGGCCCGCCCGCGACCGGGGACGAAGGCCGAGCTGGTGCGGCGCCGCACCAGCTCCTAGCGGAATCCACAGCTGCCGACAACGGCAGAGCCGTACACGAGCTGGCCACACTGAAGGCCCCACGGTCCGCTCCGTCCTGCAGCGCCGTGGCTCAGGACGCGCTCGCGATCCCGCTCACGTGGTGGAGGAGCGGGTCGCTGCTCGGCGCCCCGCCGCTCGGCAACGTCGGCAGCTCCGCCGACGACCGGCGGCGAAGAGGCCGATCGTTTTCCGAGCCGTGGGGCGTCACGAGCGCCCAGCGCCTCCGTTGACGTCACGCGGTGGCGTGGTCTCCCCGCAAAGAGCGTGCTGCACGCCCACGACACGATGGCCTGCGACTGCTCGGGAGCGCCGGCGACGTCGGCTCCCTGCGAACGCGCGAATAGCCGAGCCGGCCGGGAGTTTGGCGCGCGTTCGCCGGTCGCTGCCGACGGCGCTCTTCACCCGGTCCACCACGTGCCTGCTCTCGCGGATCGCGGCCGGCTGCCTGAAGGCCCCCCCCCCCCACCCCCCCCCCCCCGTCTAACCGGGCCGGAGCGCCGCAGGATCTTATTGCCCGTCGTTCGTCCGAGGACGACGGGCAGTGACGAACAACTTGATCAGGTTGTTAGATGACGAGATCGTCGTCGGCCAAGACGGCTGGGACGAGGGGGGTTATGGAGGACGGTGTCGTCGACATCCTCAATGCCCGATTCGAGAGTTTTCTGTACGAATGAAGCGCTCTACCTCGCTAATTACCTTTCATAAACCTTTTTCACGTGTAGTAGTACCCCGGTAATTACCCTGCAATCGGGTCATTTGTATGGGGTAAGGGTGAGAAGGTAGGGTGAAGGTAGGCTCGTTGTTTTTAGCTTTTACCTTGCCTTGCCACGGACTAGTTGGGGGGTTGGTGGGGGGGGGGGGGTTGCGGGGTTGGTGGGGGGGTTGGGGGTGTGGGGGGGGGACAGGACCCCAGAGGTGCTGTGGGTTGACCGATGTGCCAGGCTAGGTGCAGGAGGAGGTCACGGGACGGACCCAGGTGCTGTGGATTGACTGGCTGAGATGACTGGCAGATGCACACACACACACAAAGGTGGCCAGGCGTGGTGATTGTGTGACTGTCTTTATGTGTGTGACTGTGTGACTGTCTTTGTGTGTCTGTGTGTGACTGTGTGTGTCTTTTTGTGTCTGTGTGTGACTGTGTGAGTGTCTTTGTGTGTCTGTGTGTGGCTGTGTGAGTGTCTTTGTGTGTCTGTGTGTGACTGTGTGAGTGTCTTTGTGTGTCTGTGTGTGACTGTGTGAGTGTCTTTTGTGTCTGTGTGTGAGTGTCTTTGTGTGTCTGTGTGTGAGTGTCTTTGTGTGTCTGTGTGTGAGTGTGTGTGACTGTGTGAGTGTCTTTGTGTGTCTGTGTGTGAGTGTCTTTGTGTCTTTGTGTGTCTGTGTGTGAGTGTCTTTGTGTCTTTGTGTGTCTGTGTGTGAGTGTCTTTGTGTCTTTGTGTGTCTGTGTGTGAGTGTCTTTGTGTGTCTGTGTGTGGCTGTGTGAGTGTCTTTGTGTGTCTGTGTGTGTCTGTGTGTGACTGTGTGAGTGTATATGCGGCGGTGGTGGTGGTGGTGGTGGTGCAGGCGGTTAACAAAGCACTTGCCCCCACAATCTTTTTTGAAGCTAACACGGGAGGGATCTTTGTCTTTATCTTTGCCGTCAGGGCATTCACGCTGCGAGAAGAGGCGACCATGCACCTCCCCGCCAACATCGGTGAGCGGCGCGTGGCATCAGTGGAAACTCCACGTTCCTCTGGCGAGAGCGAGTCTGTTCGACAGGCAACTACCGTTGACCCCGACACCCCACACTCCACAGAGTGGTATTCATTTTATCAAGACCCCGGAGAGAAGTGTGATGGGTTTGAATCAATGCCTCCACCAGGATGGGGACTCGCCGGCGACGATTATCTGAGCCGGTCCTGGGCCTCCCCTAGGTCGGCTCGGCCTCAAATGAGTCAGGCTGCTGTGATGGCGAAATGTTAACTACCTCGCCTGGTATGCAGGAGGTCGTGGGTTCGATCCCGACCCTGACGTCTGCTGCTGTATATTTGGAGTTTGCGGTGTCTCTCTCTCATCATCATCACGGTGGCTAGGAGATGTTAACTACCTCACCTGGTATACAGGAGGTCGTGGGTTCGATCCCGACCCTGACGCCTGCTGTGGATTTGGAATTTGCGGTGTCTCTCTCTCATCATCATCACGGTGGCTAGGAGATGTTAACTACCTCACCTGGTATACAGGAGGTCGTGGGTTCGATCCCGACCCTGACGCCTGCTGTGGATTTGGAATTTGCGGTGTCTCTCTCTCATCATCATCACGGTGGCTATGAGATGTTAACTACCTCGCCTGGTATACAGGAGATCGTGGGTTCTATCCCAACCCTGACGCCTGCTGCTGCTGTATATTTTGAGTTTGCGGCGTCTCTCTCTCTCTCACTCCCCGTGGTCACGTGGTTTTTTTTCTCCGGGTCCTCCGGTTTTTCCCTCCACAGATAGAATCGACGTCACGCTTTCGGAAGCGCTTCGAGTGCTCTGCATTTCCACACGATGATAAACCACTTTGTCGGTCTATCATTTGTGGCCAGGTCGATTCTGAAAAAGAGCTGAGTGGGCTTGACCTGCTAAAATTAAAACTATGTATTAAATATCTTTAAGTTTAAACCTGGTGCGGTGTGTAAACATCACAACTGGGGAGGCAAGGCAGCCGTAGGGTGGTGCTGGCCACCCACGCCCTCGTGTGCCTTGCCGGCCTTCATAGGCGCTGCTCGCTAACAGCACTTGCCCCGACAGTCTGCTGAGGCTATACAGTCTGTCAGCAGTTGTCTTTGCATGAGTGGGTTTGGTTGATAGGGTAGGTGAGTGGGTGGGTCGGTGGGTGAGGGAGGGAGTGGGTGGGTGGGTGAGTGGGTCGGCGAGTGAGTGGGTGGGTGAGAGAGGGAGTGGGTGGGTGGGCGAGTGGGTGGGTGAGTGGGTGGATGAGAGAGGGAGTGGGTGGGTGGGCGAGTGGCCGGGCGGGTGGGTGGGTGAGTGAGAGAGGGAGTGGGTGGGTGGGCGAGTGGGCGGGTGAGTGGGTGGGTGAGAGAGGGAGTGGGTGGGTGAGTGGGTCGGCGAGTGAGTGGGTGGGTGAGAGAGGGAGTGGGTGGGTGAGCGAGTGGGTGGGTGAGTGGGTGGATGAGAGAGGGAGTGGGTGGGTGGGCGAGTGGGCGGGCGGGTGGGTGGGTGAGTGAGAGAGGGAGTGGGTGGGCGAGTGGGTGGGTTGGGTAGGGAGTCGGTGGGTGGGTGAGTGAGTGAGAGAGGGAGTGGGTGGGTGGGCGGCTGAGTGGGCGGCTGAGTGGGTGGGATGAGTGAGCGAACCCATTTGAGAGAGACAGAGACACCCAGACCCGGGGATTGAACCCAGGCTCTCGGCCGTGCTGGCTGCGTACCTTCGGACACGGCCATTGTGAACCTCACGCCCCCCCCCCCCCGAGCACAGCCCCCCAAATGGTTTGTTTAAATGGCGAGGTGGGGGGGGGGGTACGGTTCACAATAGCACCTTTGTTTAAATGTCGTGAGTGCAGGAGACTACACAGACTTCTACTCCTCACGGGACCACGCCACCAACGTGGGGATCATGTTCCGCGGTCCCGACAACGCTCTCATGCCCAACTGGTGAGAGGGGGACGGAGAGAGAGGGAGGGAGAGAGACTCACACAGCCAGCTCACAGATCAACTCCACGCACTCTCCTACCTCTCCTGCCTCTCTCATCTCACTCCCCTCCACGCACTCCCCTACCTCTCCCCTCTCATCGCACTGTAGCCCCCTGGTGAGCATGGTTGTGGTGAGCTTGGTAGTGGTGAGCGTGGCGGCGGTGGTGAGCGTGGCGGAGGTGGTGAGCGTGGTGGTGGCGGTGGTGGTGAGCGTGGTGAGCGTGGTGGTGGTGGTGAGCATGGTGGTGGTGGTGAGTGTGGTGGTGAGTGTGGTGGTGAGCGTGGTGGTGAGCGTAGTGGCGGTGGTGAGCGTGGTGGCGGTGGTGGTGAGCGTGGTGGTGAGCGTGGTGGTGAGCGTAGTCGCGGTGGTGGTGGTGAGCGTGACGGTAGTGAGCGTGGTGATGGTGGTGGTGGTGAGCATGGTGACGGTGGTGAGCGTGGTGGTGGTGGTGGTGAGCGTGGTGATGGTGGTGAGCGTGGTGATGGTGGTGAGCGTGGTGATGGTGGTGAGCGTGGTGGCGGTGGTGAGCGTGGTGGTGAGCGTGGTGGTGGTGGTGGTGAGCGTGACGGTGGTGAGCATGGTGGTGGTGGTGGTGGTGAGCTTGGTGATGGTGGTGGTGAGCGTGGTGGTGAGCGTAGTGGCGGTGGTGAGCGTGGTGGTGGTGGTGGTGGTGAGCGTGGCGGTGGTGGTGGTGGTGGTGAGCGTAGTGGCGGTGGTGGTGGTGGTGAGCGTGGTGGCGGTGGTGGTGGTGGTGAGCGTGGTGGCGGTGGTGGTGGTGGTGAGCGTGGTGGCGGTAGTGGTGGTGGTGGTGAGCGTGGTGGCGATGGTGGTGGTGGTGAGCTTGGTGGTGGTGGTGAGCGTGGTGGTGAGCTTAGTGGCGGTGGTGGTGGTGAGCGTGGTGCAGGCTGCACCTCCCGGTGGGCTACCACGGCCGTGCCTCCTCCGTGGTGCCGTCGGGGACTCCGATTCGCCGCCCCCACGGGCAGACGCGGCCCCACGACGGTGAGCCCACACCTCCCGTCCAGCGGCACGCACGTACACACGCACACACTTGCACACACTTACACACACTACGCGCACACACTACACACACGCACGCACTTGACACACACGTGTGTGAGGGTCTGCGTGTGGTGGTGGGCGTGGGTGTCCGTGCCTGTGCGTGTGTGTGTATGCGTGTGTGTGCGTGTGTAGGTGTGCGTGTTAGTGTATCTAAGCACCTGCCTGGGTATTTTGTACCATCGGACACTCCACCCCCACAACTCCCAATCGGTGATGGGGCAGTTGTGGAGAGAGTGGAGAGTTTCCCATACCTGGGCAGTGTGCTTATGACCGACTCCGGTTTAACAGCAGAGGTCTTACTCCGAATCAGTCGAGCGGCAATATCTTTTCATCGGTTGCGTAACGCTGTGTGGAAGCTACCTGGTCTGTCGCTCCGCACTAAGCTTCAGGTCTTCTCGGCCATGGTCATTCCCTCCCTTCTCTTCGCTTGCGAAACGTGGACCCCCGTAATGGAACATCTTCGCCGGTTAGGACCTCACAATCCTTGAAAGATCTGGGCAAGGTTCCATCGGTGAGCTCCTCCGGCAGGCAAGGCTTCGTTGGCTGGGTCATGTAGCCCGCATGCCCAGCCACCGCATGCCTAAACAGCTTTTGTTCGGCCGGATCGAGGGGGTTCTAAACGGGCGCGGCACGGGCTAGAGAAGAGATGGAATGATGTGGTACAGGAGGACGTGGAGCTGAGTGGACTTGCCGATGACGGGTACCAGCGGTGTCAAGATCGGCCTCTGTGGAGGAGGCTCGTGAAGGACGCTACTGGGCAGTTGGAGGTAGTCGCCCTCCAACAACAACGGAGGGCGGAGGAGCGACGCTCACAACAGCGAGCGGAGCGCCGGGTGGCTAAAGCACAGCAGGTTGGCACAGTAGGGGGCACAGGTGGTGCATCAGCCAGTCATCTCAGTCAGTCGACCCGTGGCACCTGGGTCTGCCCCGTGACCTCCTGCCCGCGGGCGTTCGACACTTCACGTGGCCTCAGGGTGCACATAGCCTGGCACAAGCATCGTGGTGACGTCACCGCCACTTAGTGGCGAATGGCGGTTGTTGTTGTTGTTGTAGGTGTGTGCGGTTGTGGGTGTGTGTGTGTGTGACACGACTGTGTTCCCGTGCGTACGTGTGTGTGTGTGTGCGTGTAGACCAGCCCCCCGTGTTCGGAGCGAGCCGCCTGCTGGACTTCGAGCTGGAGATGGTAACAACAACGCAGCGTGCGGCCACCCCGGTTCACCCCGCCGTGTTTCTATTAGCCTCACGACAACAACAACAGCAACAACAACACCGCTACTACCTCGCGCCCGTCCCCTTCGCTCGCGAGGGGGACGTTAAAGATCCCCGTGACGTCACGTGGAAGAGTGACGTCATCGTGAGCCGCCGCTCTCTGACGGTCCAACGTCACCCACCTCTCCCCCTCCCTCTCCCTCTCTCCTTCACTCTCTCCCTCCCTGCCCCTCTCTCTCCCGCTCTCTCTCCCCTCCCTCCCTGCCCCTCTCCCTCCCTCCCCCTCTCTATCTCCATCTCGCCCTCTTTCTCTCCCTCGCTCTCTCCCACTCTCCATCTCTCCTTTGCTCTCCTTCACTCTCTCTCCCCTCCCTCCCTCTCTCTCTCCCTCCCTGCCCCTCTCTCTCCCTCTCTCCCCCCTCTAGCCCGCCGCCCCCCGCCCCTCCCCCCTCCCTCTCTCCCACTCTCTCCCCCCTCCTCCCCCCCCCCCCCCCCCCCCCGCGTGACCCCCAGGCCTTCTTTGTGGGGCCCGGCAATCGGCTGGGCGAGCCCATTGCCATCGAGCGCGCGCAGGATCACATCTTCGGCATGGTGCTCATGAACGACTGGAGCGGTAAGTCACAACAACAACCACAACAACAATAATAATAACAACAACCACAGCAACACGCACAGCAACAGCAATCACAACCATAACAACATTCACAACAACAATCACAACCATAACCACAATCACAACAACAATCACAACAACCACAACAACAGCAACAACAACAACAATCACACCAACAATGACAACAACAACCACAATGACCGTCACAACGCTGCAGTTCGACTAGTAACAGTTTGACGAGTCTCCACTCATCGCCTGCGTAGAGAGAGAGAGCGAGAGGGCGACGATGATGATGACAACGATGATCATGACGATTATGGTGACGACGATAATCACGACGATGATCACGACGATTATGATGACGACGACGATGATAATGATGACGACTGGTTATGACGATGTTGACGATGACGATGATCAAGAGGTGGAGGAATCCTCCATAATCTCACTGCCCCTCCCCGCCGCTCAGCCCGCGACATCCAGAAGTGGGAGTACGTGCCGCTGGGGCCCTTCCTGGGCAAGAACTTCGGCACCTCCATCTCCCCCTGGGTGGTCACCATGGAGGCGCTGGCACCGTTCGCGCTGCCCAACGCCAAGCAGGTGCGGCGGTGACGCGAGTGCCCGCTCGGCACGGTAACCCACGGTCACCCAGGGCAACCCACGGTGACCCACGGCCACCCACGGTGACCCACGGTCACCCACGGTGAACCCACGGTGACCCACGGTCACCCAGGGCAACCCACGGTCACCCACGATCACCCACGGTGACCCACGGTGATCCACGATCACCCACGGTGACCCACGATCACCCACGGTGACCCACGATCACCCACGATCACCCACGATGAACCATGGTCACCCACGGTGACCCACGATCACCCACGGTGAACCACGATCACCCACGGTGACCCACGGTGATCCACGATCACCCACGGTGATCCACGGTGACCCACGGTGATCCACGATCACCCACGGTGATCCACGGTGACCCACGGTGATCCACGATCACCCACGGTGATCCACGGTGACCCACGGTGATCGACGATCACCCACGGTGACCCACGGTGATCCACGATCACCCAGGGTGACCCACGGCACGAGCCGCACATTCACCGCGGCCCGCCCGTCGTTCACCATCCGGTGCGCTGCGTGCGGCACGGCGGTGGCAGTTACGAACCCGGCTATCTGGGTTCGGTCGTTAGCCTCCCCTAGGTCTGCTCGGCCTCAAATGAGTACCCGGGAGACAAAGGCGGCGGTCACACAACTCCATCGCGTGTGTGTAGGCGTGTGTAGGTGTGTGTAGGTGTGTGCCGTTCCGGCCTTCATAGGTGCTCGCCAACAGCACTTGTCCCGACAGACTGTTACAGGCTACACCGCGGAGGGGGAGGTGGATCTTTGTCTTTGTGTAGGTGTGTGTGTAGGTGTGTGTAGGTGTCTGTGTGTGTGTGTAGGTGTGTAGGTGTGTGTGTGTGTGTAGGTGTGTGTAAGTGTGTGTGTGTATGTGTAGGTGTGTGTGTAGGTGTGTAGGTGTGTGTGTAGGTGTGTGTGTGTGTAGGTGTGTATCCGGTAAAACAAACCCCTACCTCCTCGTGGTGCTGGACGGGCAACGCTGTCGTGGACAGTGCTGTGGGGGAGGAGGGCCAATTCCAATTGGCCTTTCCCCTCATGGCGTCTGTGACCACCACAGCGGCTAAATGGGGGCTCTGGATGGGTGCGAGGGGCTGGTAACCCCTCCACCTTCAATTAACTACCACTAAACTATGACCGAAAAATGTAATGAACAAGCTTGTGCCGGAGGCCCCGGGGGTACAGGCGTCTATGACGTCTCCTGGCCAAACCCCATTTGGCGGAGCCAGGAGATTGAATCTTTACCCTCGGAGCTCCTCCAGAAACAACAAAAGTCCACTTGCTAGGCACGCTGAGGAGAGGCTTGCGGAGCCCCAATGCAGTTTCAGGAAAGGGCAGTCCTGCACAGATGCCATATTTTCGGTCCGTTTGCTACAGCAGATGTGTAGGGAATTCCAACAAGACTTACATATCTGCTTTGTTGACCTGGTCAAGGCCTATGATAACATCTTTGCCGGTTAGAAACATTTAGGCTGGCCTGCCTACGATCCATCCTGGGTTTAACCAGGCTGGATTGTGTGAGGAGCTCACAAATCCTTGAAAGATCTGGGCAAGGTCCCATCGGTGAGCTCCTCCGGCAGGCAAGGCTGCGTTGGCTGGGTCATGTAGCCCGCATGCCCAGTCAACGCATGCCTAAACAGCTTTTGTTCGGCCGGATCGAGGGGCCTTAATGGGTGCGACACGGGCTAGAGAAGAGATGGAGTGATGTGGTACAGGAGGACGTGGAGCTGAGTGGACTTGCCGATGACTGGTACCAGCGGTGTCAAGATCGGCCACTGTGGAGGAGGCTCGTGAAGGACGCTACTGGGCAGTTGGAGGCAGTCGCTCTCCAACAACAACGGAGGGCGGAGGAGCGACGCTCACAACAACGAGCGAAGCGCCGGGTCGTTAAAGCACAGCAGGTTGGCACAGTAGGGGGCACAGGTGGTGCATCAGCCAGTCATCTCAGTCAGTCGACCCGTGGCACCTGGGTCTGCCCCGTGACCTCCTGCCAGCGGGCGTTCGACACTTCACGTGGCCTCAAGGTGCACATAGCCTGGCACAAGCGTCGTGGTGACGTCACCGCCACTTAGTGGCGAATGGCGGTTGTTGTTGTAGGGGGTGGGGATATTTGTCTTTGTGAAATGCAGGAGCCGCCGCCGCTCCCGTACCTGCAGCACGCCGACGCCTTCTCCTTCAACATCGACCTCAGCGTGGGGATCCGCGGTGAGCGCTCCTCCTCCTCTGCCTCGTCGTCTTCGTCGTTGTCATCTTCACTGTCCTCGTCGTCATTGTTGTCATGGTCATAGTTGTCGTCATCGTTGTCATGGTTATAGTTGTCGTCATCGTTGTCATGGTCATGGTTGTCGTCATCGTTGTCATGGTCATGGTTGTCGTCATCGTTGTCATGGTTATAGTTGTCGTCATCGTTGTCATGGTTATAGTTGTCGTCATCGTTGTCATGGTTATAGTTGTCGTCATCGTTGTCATGGTTATAGTTGTCGTCATCGTTGTCATGGTCATGGTTGTCGTCATCGTTGTCATGGTCATGGTTGTCGTCATCGTTGTCATGGTTATGGTTGTCATGGTCATAGTTGTCATGGTCATAGTTGTCGTCATCGTTGTCATGGTCATGGTTGTCATCATCGTTGTCATGGTCATGGTTGTCATCATCGTTGTCATGGTCATGGTTGTCGTCATCGTTGTCATGGTCATAGTTTTCGTCATCGTTGTCATGGTTATAGTTGTCGTCATCGTTGTCATGGTTATAGTTGTCGTCATCGTTGTCATGGTTATAGTTGTCGTCATCATTGTCATGGTCATAGTTGTCGTCATCGTTGTCATGGTCATGGTTGTCGTCATCGTTGTCATGGTCATAGTTGTCGTCATCGTTGTCATGGTCATGGTTGTCGTCATCGTTGTCATGGTCATGGTTGTCGTCATCGTTGTCATGGTCATGGTTGTCGTCATCGTTGTCATGGTCATGGTTGTCGTCATCGTTGTCATGGTTATAGTTGTCGTCATCGTTGTCATGGTTATAGTTGTCGTCATCGTTGTCATGGTTATAGTTGTCGTCATCGTTGTCATGGTCATGGTTGTCGTCATCGTTGTCATGGTCATGGTTGTCGTCATCGTTGTCATGGTTATGGTTGTCATGGTCATAGTTGTCATGGTCATAGTTGTCGTCATCGTTGTCATGGTCATGGTTGTCATCATCGTTGTCATGGTCATGGTTGTCATCATCGTTGTCATGGTCATGGTTGTCGTCATCGTTGTCATGGTCATAGTTTTCGTCATCGTTGTCATGGTTATAGTTGTCGTCATCGTTGTCATGGTTATAGTTGTCGTCATCGTTGTCATGGTTATAGTTGTCGTCATCATTGTCATGGTCATAGTTGTCGTCATCGTTGTCATGGTCATGGTTGTCGTCATCGTTGTCATGGTCATAGTTGTCGTCATCGTTGTCATGGTCATGGTTGTCGTCATCGTTGTCATGGTCATGGTTGTCGTCATCGTTGTCATGGTCATGGTTGTCGTCATCGTTGTCATGGTCATGGTTGTCGTCATCGTTGTCATGGTTATAGTTGTCGTCATCGTTGTCATGGTTATAGTTGTCGTCATCGTTGTCATGGTTATAGTTGTCGTCATCGTTGTCATGGTCATAGTTGTCGTCATCGTTGTCATGGTCATGGTTGTCGTCATCGTTGTCATGGTTATGGTTGTCATGGTCATAGTTGTCATGGTCATAGTTGTCGTCATCGTTGTCATGGTCATGGTTGTCATCATCGTTGTCATGGTCATGGTTGTCATCATCGTTGTCATGGTCATGGTTGTCGTCATCGTTGTCATGGTCATAGTTGTCGTCATCGTTGTCATGGTTATAGTTGTCGTCATCGTTGTCATGGTCATGGTTGTCGTCATCGTTGTCATGGTTATGGTTGTCATGGTCATAGTTGTCATGGTCATAGTTGTCGTCATCGTTGTCATGGTCATGGTTGTCGTCATCGTTGTCATGGTTATGGTTGTCATCATCGTTGTCATGGTTATAGTTGTCGTCATCGTTGTCATGGTTATAGTTGTTGTCATCGTTGTCATGGTTATAGTTGTCGTCATCGTTGTCATGGTCATGGTTGTCGTCATCGTTGTCATGGTTATGGTTGTCATGGTCATAGTTGTCATGGTCATAGTTGTCGTCATCGTTGTCATGGTCATGGTTGTCGTCATCGTTGTCATGGTCATGGTTGTCGTCATCGTTGTCATGGTTATAGTTGTCGTCATCGTTGTCATGGTTATAGTTGTTGTCATCGTTGTCATGGTTATAGTTGTCGTCATCGTTGTCATGGTCATGGTTGTCGTCATCGTTGTCATGGTTATGGTTGTCATGGTCATAGTTGTCATGGTCATAGTTGTCGTCATCGTTGTCATGGTCATGGTTGTCGTCATCGTTGTCATGGTCATGGTTGTCGTCATCGTTGTCATGGTTATAGTTGTCGTCATCGTTGTCATGGTTATAGTTGTTGTCATCGTTGTCATGGTAATAGTTGTCGTCATCATTGTCATGGTTATAGTTGTCATCGTTGTCATGGTTATAGTTGTCGTCATCGTTGTCATGGTCATAGTTGTCATCATCGTTGTCATGGTCATGGTTATCGTCGCCGTCATGGTCATCGTCATTGATTTCCTCGTCATCAATGTTGTCGTCGTCATTGTCGTCATTCTCGTCGTCGAAGGTCATCGTTGTCCTCACTGTCGCCGTCGTCATGGATGTCATCATCGTTATCGTCGTCATTATCGTCTTCGTCATTGTCGTCATCGCCATCATCGTCGTCATCATCGTCGTCTTCATCATTGTCGTCTTCATCATCGTCGTCGTCATCGTCATCACCAGCCCATTCTCTCTTAGAGCAGGACTTGGTGTCCCATAAAGGAACCTGCGTGGAAGTGGATGTCACAAAGCGACTTCCGAGATCCGCTTCTCATTCACGTGATCACTGCGGCCTGCTGCTGTGTATTTGGAGTTTTCGTGTCTCTCTCTCTCCCCCCCTCTCTCTCCCCGTGGCCGCGTGGATTTTTCTAGAGGCCCTCCCGATTTGTCTCCCCACGATCTAGAATCAATGGCGCGCGTTCAGAGCATCGTTGTCCACGCGGCGATGACGATGATAAGCCGCTGAGCGTCAGCTCAGTGATGGGCATTACCTGGTACAACACGCAAGTCAAATGAGAATTAAGCAACGGGACCCACCCTGCAACTTGCGATCATCTTCAGGGAAAGGGTTAACGCGAGGGGGCGAGGGTGAACTTGCTGATGGGTAACCGGCGTGTTCGTGTCCACTGCCCCCTCAGGAGAGGGGATGGCTGAGCCGGCGACCGTCTGCAAATCCAACTTCAAGGTTGGTACCCAGATCAACGCCACCACGCACCCCCCTCCTGCCTCTCCCCTCTCATCTCACTCCACTCACTCTCCTACCTCTCCCCTCTCATCTCACTCCCCTCCACCCACTCTCCTACCTCTCCCCTCTCATCTCACTCCCCTCCACTCACTCTGCTGCCTCTCCCTCTCATCTCACTCCACTCCCCTCCACTCACTCTCCTCCCTCTCCCCTCTCATCTCACTCCACTCCCCTCCACTCACTCTCCTACCTCTCCCCTCTCATCTCACTCCCCTCCACACTCTCTCCTGCCTCTCCCCTCTCATCTCACTCCACTCCCCTCCACCCACTCTCCTGCCTCTCCCCTCCCATCTCGCTCCACTCCCGCGCAATGCACTTTTCTCCCACACCTATAAACACTCAACGTTAATTGTGGCCGATAAAACCTTGATAATAGAGAGAGAGAGAGAGAGGACCATCGTTGGTAAGCTCCGGCTGCCCCTCATCACCACGTGGCTGTTGCTGCCTTCCCACTCCGCGTCTGTGGCTCCTCCTCCTGGAGCCTCGCTCCCTCAGTCTCTCTCTCTCTCTCCCTCCGAGTCATCCTCTCTCTTTCTCATTCACTAGGCGAGCGAGTTGTGGGTGAGTTGTACGGGTGAGTTGTACGGGTGAGCGGTGCGGGTGAGCAGCGCGGGTGAGCGGTGGGGTTGAGCTGTACGGGCGAGCGGTGCGGGTGAGCGGTGCGGGTGAGTGTTGCGGGTGAGCGGTGCGGGTGAGCGTTGCGAGTGAGCGGTGCGGGTGAGCGTTGCGGGTGAGCGGTGCGGGTGAGCGGTGGGGTTGAGCGGTGGGGTTGAGCGGTGCGGGTGAGCTCTACGGGTGAGCGGTATGGGTGAGCGGTGCGGGTGAGCTGTATGGGTGAGCGGTGCAGGTGAGCGGTGGGGTTGAGCGGTGCGGGTGAGTGTTGCGGTTGAGCTGTACGGGTGAGCGGTGCAGGTGAGCGGTGGGGTTGAGCGGTGCGGGTGAGTGTTGCGGGTGAGCTGTACGGGTGAGCGGTGCAGGTGAGCTGTACGGGTGAGCGTTGTGGGTGAGTAACCGTGCCACGTGACGCCCCCCCCCCCCCCAGCACATGTACTGGAGCATGAAGCAGCAGCTGGCACACCACACGGCCTCCGGCTGCAACGTGCGTCCCGGAGACCTGCTGGCGTCCGGCACCATCAGCGGCCCGGTGAGCGGCGGCACGCCAGGCCCGCACAACCACCACCGCCATGACGACAACAACCACCACGACAACAACAACAACAACCATTTGTGATAGCGTCGTGGCTATCACAAATGACAGCTCACCGAAGTGGCTCATCATCATCATCGTCATCATCGTCATCGTCGTCGTCGTCGTCATCGTCACCGTCATCATCATCATCGTCATCATCATCATCGTCGTCACCGTGTGGACATTTCTAGCAGCAGTCAAACTCTCTAAAGGCGGTGGTGTTGTTGTTGATTCTCAATGTGGGGGGATAAACCGGAGGACCTGGAGAAAAATCCACGCGACCACGGGGAGAGAGAGGGAGCGAGAGACACAAGCTACAAATATACAGCAAGCTTTTACTTTTTCGATTTAAAGCTTTCGTGACTGCTGGGATTCATATTCTTGGTTCTTTCGGTAAAGTCACCACCACGTAGACTTTACCAGAAGAACCCAGAATACAGCAGCAAGCTTCAGGGTCGGGATCGAACCCACGACCTCCTGCATACCAGGCGAGGTAGTTAACATCTCCTAGCCACCGTGATGATGATGATGATGATGAGAGAGAGACACGCAAACTCCAAATATACAGCAGGCATCAAGGTTCAGATCGAACCCACGACCTCCTCCATACCAGGCGAGGTAGTCAACATATCATATCTACCGTGATGATGATGATAATGAGAGACACGCAAACTCCAAATACACAGCAGGTGTCAGGGTCGGGATTGAACCCACAACCTCCTGCATACCAGGCGAGGTAGTTAACATATCCTAACCACCGTGATGATGATGATGATGATGAGAGAGAGAGACACGCAAACTCCAAATATACAGCAGTTGCTTCGTCAGGATCGGGATTGAACCCACGACCTCCCGCATACCAGGCGAGGTAGTTAACATCTCCTAGCCACCGTGGCGCCCCCTATCCCCCCAAGGTGCTTTGTGCTGTCAGCCACGAGCGTCACCTTTGCACCAACCCCCCCCGCACTCCCCCCCTTCCCTCCCCCTCTTCCCCCCCCCCCCGCCACCGGACGTTGTCCGTCCCGGTGCAGGAGCCGGGGAGCTTCGGCTCCATGCTGGAGCTGTCGTGGAAGGGCACCAAGAGCGTGGACCTGGGCGGTGGGAACACTCGGAAGTTCCTCCAGGACGGAGATGAAGTGATCATCACAGGTGGGCCGGACATCAGCGCTAGCAGCGCACAACAACACACCCACTTGGTCACTCGCTTGCACAATCAGTCACTCGCACACACACTCGCCCACTCACCCACTCACCCACTCGCCCACTCATCCACTCGCCCACTCACCCACTCGCCCACTCACCCACTCACCCACTCACCTACTCAACCACTCACCCACTCACCTACTCAACCACTCACCCACTCAACCACTCACTCACTCAGTCACTCACTCACCCACACACTGACTCGCTCACCCACACACTCACTCGCTCACTCACCCACTCACTCATTCACTTACCCACTCGCTCACCCACACACTCACCCACACACTCACCCACTCACTCACCTACTCTCTCACCCACTCACTCATTCACCCACTCACTCATTCACCCACTCACACACCCACTCACCCACCCACTCACTCACCCACCCACCCATTAATTCACTCCACCACTCACCCATTAATTCACTCATTCACTCACCCACTCACTCACCCACCCACTCACTCACCCACCCACTCACCCACCCACTCACTCACCCACTCACTCACCCGTTCACTCACTCAACCGCTCACTCACTCACGCACTCACTCACCCAATCACTCACCCACTCATTCACCGCACTACCGGTCTCAACAACTCACCCACTCACTCACCTACTCACTCACCCACTCACTCACCGACTCACTCACCCACTCACCACTTGACCAGTCACAATACACTCACCCAGTCACTCACTCGCTACTCGACCAGTCACAACAACAGCCCACTCACTCGTTCACCCGCTCACCCACTCACCACACTACACGGCACAACAATAGGCTCACTCAGTTGCCCACTGAGGCACTCTCCCACACACTCACCCACACACTCACTCACCCACACACTCACCCACACACTCACTCACCCACACACTCACTCACCCACACACTCACCCACCCACACACTCACCCACCCACTCACCCACACACTCGCCCACCCACTTACCCGCCCACTCATTCACCCACACACTCACTCACCCACACACTCACTCACCCACACACTCACTCACCCACCCACACACCCACTCACTCACCCAAACACCCACCCACTCACCCACACACTCACCCACACACTCACCCACACACTCACCCACACACTCACCCACCCACTCACCCACCCACTCACCCACTCACTCACCCACTCACTCACCCATTCACTCACTCACCCACTCACTCACCCACTCACTCACTCACGCACTCACTCACTCACGCACTCACTCACCCAATCACTCACCCACTCATTCACTGCACTACCGGTCTCAACAACTCACCCACTCACTCACCTACTCACCCACTCACTCACCCACTCACCACTTGACCAGTCACAATACACTCACCCACTCACTCACTCGCTTCTCGACCGGTCACAACAACAGCCCACTCACTCGTTCACCCGCTCACCCACTCACCACACTACACAGCACAACAATAGGCTCGCTCAGTCGCCCACTGAGGCACTCTCCCACACACTCACCCACACACTCGTTCACCCACACACTCACTCACCCACACACTCACTCACCCACACACTCACTCACCCACACACTCACCCACCCACTCACCCACCCACACACTCACTCACCCACACACTCACTCACTCACCCAAACACCCACCCACTCACCCACACACTCACCCACTCACCCACACACTCACCCACACACTTACTCACCCACACACTCACTCACCCACCCACTCACCCACACACTCACCCATCCACTCACCCGCACACTCACCCACCCACTCACCCACCCACTCACCCACCCACTCACCCGCCCACTCACCCGCCCACTCACCCACACACTCACCCGCACACTCACCCGCCCACTCACCCGCCCACTCACCCGCCCACCAACCCGCTCACTCACCCACACACTCACCCACCCACTCACCCGCCCACTCACCCACACACTCACCCGCCCACTCACCCGCACTCACCCGCCCACTCACCCACACACTCACCCACCCACTCACCCACACACTCACCCGCCCACTCACCCGCCCACTCACCCACACACTCACCCGCCCACTCACCCGCCCACTCACCCACACACTCACCCGCCCACTCACCCGCCCACTCGCCCACACACTCACCCGCCCACTCACCCGCCCACTCACCCACACACTCACCCGCCCACTCACCCGCCCACTGATCCACACAGTCACCCGCCCACTGACCCGCCCACTCACCCACCCACCCACTCACTCGCCCACTCACCCACCCACCCACTCACCCGCCCACTCACCCGCCCACTCACCCACCCACTCACCCACACACTCACCCACCCACTCACCCGCCCACTCACCCGCCCACTCACCCACACACTCACCCGCCCACTCACCTGCCCACTGATCCACACACTCACCCGCCCACTGACCCGCCCACTCACCCACCCACTCACCCACACACTCACCCACCCACTCACCCGCCCACTCACCCACCCACACACCCACCCACTCACCCACCCACCCGCCCACTCACCCACCCACCCACTCACCCGCCCACTCACCCACCCACTCACCCACACACTCACCCACCCAGTCACCCGCCCACTCACCCACCCACACACCCACCCACTCACCCGCCCACTCACCACACTGCAGGTTTCCACGTCTGGTTCTTAACTAACACTACTCCACTCTGGAATTCCCCTCTTATAGTCTCTCTCCGCCACGTCCTGAGAACTGCTCTAGGTTCTAGAAACCTGTTAAATCCTCTATCTACTAGAGATGTACTGGATTTTTTTGTAGTGCATGGTAGTGAAGTGTATACTGTATAGTAGTGCATTGTATAGCAGTGTAGTGTATAGTGTAGTGATAGAAGTGTAGTGTATATGAGTGCAGTGTATATGAGTGTAGTGTATAGGAGTGTAGTGTATAGGAGTGTAGTGTATAGGAGTGTAGTGTATAGTAGTGTAGTGTATATGAGTGTAGTGTATAGTAGTGTAGTGTATAGTGTAGTATATAGTAGTGTATAGTAGTGTAGTGTATAGTGTAGTGTATATGAGTGTCATGTATAGTGCAGTATATAGTATCATACCTGTCACAACCCATACGGTTTACCCCGTATTCGTGTACAGGTAAATTGAGTTTCCAGCTCCATACGGCGTACAGCCGTTTCAATATGGGGCAAAACATGTTTTACTTGTGATTCTCACTTGTGATGGGACTTTGTAGGATGAACGTTGAGATTTATAAGGGGCACGGGGTGACCAATAAGATCGGGGCTGATAAGGGGTTGACAAGCATGCCTGACCAGTGAAACAGGTGCTGTTTGTGGTGCGGTGCTGTGGTATGCTGTGTGTGGTGCTGTGGTATGCTGTGTGTGGTGCTGGGGTATGCTGTGTGTGGTGCTGTGGTATGCTGTGCGTGGTGCTGTGGTATGCTGTGTGGTGCTGTGGTATGCTGTGTGTCGTGCTGTGGTATGCTGTGTGTGGTATGCTGTGTGTGGTGCTGTGCGCGGTGTTGTGGTATGCTGTGTGTGGTGCTGTGGTATGCTGTGTGTGGTGCTGTGATATGCTGTGTTGTTCTGTGGTATGCTGTGTGTGGTGCTGTGGTATGCTGTGTGTGGTGCTGTGGTATGCTGTGTGTGGTGCTGTGGTATGCTGTGTTGTGCTGTGGTATGCTGTGTTGTGCTGTGGTATGCTGTGTGTGGTGCTGTGGTATGCTGTGCGTGGTGCTGTGGTATGCTGTGCGTGGTGCTGTGATATGCTGTGTGTGGTGCTGTGGTATGATGTGTGTGGTATGATGTGTGTGGTGCTGTGCACGGTGTTGTGGTATGCTGTGTGTGGTGCTGTGGTATGCTGTGTGTGGTGCTGTGATATGCTGTGTTGTGCTGTGGTATGCTGTGTGTGGTGCTGTGGTATGCTGTGTGTGGTGCTGTGGTATGCTGTGCGTGGTGCTGTGGTATGCTGTGCGTGGTGCTGTGGTATGCTGTGCGTGGTGCTGTGGTATGCTGTGCGTGGTGCTGTGGTATGCTGTGCGTGGTGCTGTGGTATGATGTGTGTGGTGCTGTGGCATGATGTGTGTGGTATGCTGTGTGTGGTGCTGTGCGCTATGCTGTGCGCGGTGCTGTGATATGCTGTGCGTGGTGCTGTGGTATGATGTGTGTGGTGCTGTGATATGCTGTGTGTGGTGTTGTGGTATGATGTGTGTGGTGTTGTGGTATGATGTGTGTGGTATGCTGTGCGTGGTGCTGTGCGCGGTACAGGTCACTGCCAGGGTGAGGGCTACCGCGTCGGGTTCGGGGCCTGCACGGGGAAGGTGCTGCCGGCCCTGTGAGGCCGCCCACAGCCCAACACATCCCTGTTAAGGCCACGACAGCCTCGTGAAGGCCAACACAGTCTCACGAAGGCTGACAAAGCTTAGCGAAGGCCTCCACAGCCTTGTGGAGGCTGACAGCTTTGCAAAGGTCTCCGCAGCCTTGCGAAGGTCGACGCAGCCTTGCTAAGGCCACCACAGGCTTGCGATGGCCTGCACAGCCTTGCCAAGGCCTCCACAGGCTTGCGATGGCCTGCACAGGCTTGCGAAGACCTCTACAGGCTTGTGAAGGCCACCACAGGCTTGCGATGGCCTGCGCAGGCTTGCGAAAGTGTCTACAGCCTTGCGAAGGCCTCCGCAGCCTTATAAAGGCCTCCACAGTCTTGTGAAGGTCGACGCAGCCTTGCTAAGGCCCTCCACAGGCTTGCGATGGCCTGCACAGGCTTGCGAAGACCTCTACAGGCTTGCGAAGAACGCCACAGGCTTGCGAAGGCCACCGCAGGCCATCGCAAGCCTGCGCAGGCTTGTGAAGGGCGTCTCCCACAGCTCTACGATGATTCGTGCTGATCGTACCGATGCCTCGCGTCTTAAGCGCCGATTTCTCTCCGTATATTTTTTATATAATCGATACGCAAAACGTGCAGTACACACACGGGTGATTTTTGGTGCAAATTAAAGCTGTTGCTGAACGGTGATCGACTGCGCCTGTTTCATTTGCCATATCTCACGGCGCCCTTCGCCACTCCGCCGCTGAATGCGAGGGGACATGAGCCGACGATTCTACATCGCGTGCACGCAGCTTCATATAAGACGGAAATCATTCTCGTTGTTGCGAATGCAATCCCGCTTGCTTTGCTCAGGAAAGCATCGGTGAGGTCTCGAGACTTTTTCGGGGAGGGTCTTTCCAAGTATTTTTTTTTGTTTGCAGCGAGGAGGATGTTGCTGCTCCTGCTGCTGCTGTTTCTAAACCCGGTTGATCGATCTATTAGCAGTCTGGTCATCACATCTATGCCTCTATATAAGGAGCGAAACGGGTGGACTTCTCCACAAATCTGGCTGTCGCCTGATGAAGCTGGTTGTAATTACTGGCGAAACGTCGTGCTCTGATTGTAAATGTTGTGGCTTGGCTCTCCAACACACAACCGGTGTGCTGTACTAGTATAGTACACTATACACTACACCACTATACACTACACTACTATACACTAGACCACTATACACTATGCTACTATACACTACACCACTATACACTACACCACTATACACTACACTATACACTACACTACTATACACTCCACTATACACTACACTACGATATCCACTACGATACACTCCACTATACACCACTACTATACACTACACTATACACTACACTACTATACACTACACTACTATACACTTCTATACGCTACACTATATGCTACACTATACACTCCACTATACACTACACTACTATACATTACACTACTATACACTACATTACTATACACTACTATACACGTCACTATACACTACACTACTATACACTCCGCTATACACTACTCTACACACTAGTGCTGTACTAGTAACGAATTGGCACGTTGTTTACGTGACAACCCATACTAAATTACACTCCACAAAACAAAGAACCAAGAAGATGAACCCATACTAATTGTCTGCGTCGGGTGGTGGTGGGTTTAACGACACACATTTATATATTTACGCCATCTGACCCCCCAAAAAAACACTTGTTTTGTGGAGTGTAAATTTTCTTCGGTGAGATAGCGTTTGGGCCAAAGCCGGTTCCAATCTGCGGTTCGGTTTTTTTTTTGCTTTGCTTTTGGAGGAAACCGGAGAACCCATAAAAGAAACCCCTGCGGAACACGGGGGCAGCAGAGAATGCAAACGCGGCTCACGCCTTGCGGAACAGGTTGGAGATCGGTGCAGAGAGCAGGGGGCTCCCCCACACTCTCCTACTGAGTTGTCATCAATTGGGATCGAAGCCACGACCTCCTGTGTACCGGGCGAGGTAGTTAGCACCCTGCCACCGTGGCGCCCCACACTCCACCGGAGTTATCGATTGGGATCGAACCCACGACCTCCTGTGTACCGGGCGAGGTAGTTATGTGCATTGAAGTGGTGGGTTCGATCCCAACCCAGACGCCTGCGCGTTTGGAGTCTGCACGTTCGTTCCCGTGGTGGCGTGGATTCCGCTCCGGATCCTCCGGATTTGTCCCCACTCAACAGCCACGCGTTTAGAGTGTTCGGCTGCTCGCGAATGTCCACGCGATGATGATGATGATCCACTTCGTTGAGCTGTCATTTGTGGGCACGTCGCTTCTAAAAAAAAAAGCTCAGTTGGGGGGCCTTTGCCTGGGTGAAATAAAAGATTGTTTTAGTTTTAACCGACCTGTAAATACTCCCCATAACACGGAACTTTTTTTTTGGGGGGGGGGGGGGGGTGGTTACATCGCGTGATATAAATGTGTCGTTAAACCCGCCACCACCCGACACAGCCAATTCGTGAAGGTGTGTCACGTAAACAGAACGTGCCAATTCGTTGCCAATACAGCAACACCGGTCTGTTGGAGGGCAAATCCACAAACATTTACGATCTGAGTGCCGTGGCGTTTCGCCTGCAATTAACGAGTGCCATCATCGTCATTATCAGGCCTGCGACAATGCGAGCAATAGCTCTCGTAGTAGCCCAACAGACGTGCCTTAGACACCAACACTGACGGCGTTGCGTACGGCGCAAACCCCTGGTGCTAAACAAGCCGCACGTCACTTAACTTTCTCAGCAAGCAGCAGTAGCCACTACCACCCACTCACCACCCACTCACCACCACTACCACCCACTCACCATTACCATTCACCACCACTACCACCCACCACCACCCACTACCACCCACTCACCACCACTACCACCACTACCATTCACCACCACCACTACCACCCACCACCACCCACTACCACCCACTCACCACCACTACCATTCACCACCACCACAACGACCCACCACCACAACGACCCACAACCACCCACCACCACCCACTCACCACCCACCCACCACTACCACCCACTCACCACTACCATTCACCACTACCACCCACTCACCACCCACTCACCACTACCACCCACTCACCACTACCATTCACCACAACCACCCACCACCACCCACTACCACCCACTCACCACCACTACCACCCACTCACCACTACCACCCACTCACCACCACTACCATCCACTCACCACTACCACCCACTCACCACTACCATTCACCCACCACTACCACCCACCCACCACTACCACCCACCCACCACTACCACCCACCCACCACTACCACCCACCACGACCACGACCACCCACCCACCCCTACCACCACCCACCCACCACCACCACCTACTATCACCATCATCAGCGTCGTCACCATCACTGACTCACAACTCCCTCCCACTGCCAACGATTCGTCAACGAGGCGGGGGTCCGGCCACTCCCTCCTCCTCATTCTGTGGGGGGAGTCGCCTGCTCCCATTCATTCACTCACTCAGTCGTTCGGTGAGCTGCTGCTGCTGGTGGTGGTGGTGATTGTTGTCGTCGTTGTTGGTGGTTGTTGTTGGTGGTGGTGGTTTGAAGAGGCCATGTCCGAAGACTCTGAGCAGCGCGGGCAGGAGGAGGAGGAGACGCCTCTGGGTGAGTGGCCACGTCAATGTTAAACTCCACGCGAGCTCTCTCCACTGCTGGATAGCAGCCTCGATTGCGTCGCTCAGCATACACGCAGTGCCGTGGGATGCCTACATTACTTACACGTGTGTGATACACATGTAATACACCGCACATGATACACATCACACGTGATACACCACACACATGATAACATACACTACACATGTGATACACCACACACATGATAACATACACTACACATGTGATACACCACACACATGATACACCACACATGATGGCGACACAACAACAACTCTCGTGGTGGAGGGGAGAGGGATTCACATCGGACACGGAGGAGGCACGGACGATGCTGTGTGGGTGGGTTCTGTGTGTGGTGTGGGTGATGTGTGTGCTGTGTGTGGTGTGGGTGCTGTGTGTGTGGTGTGGGTGCTGTGTGTGTGGTGTGTGTGTGGTGTGGGTGATGTGTGTGTGTGGTGTGGGTGCTGTGTGTGGTGTGGGTGATGTGTGTGTGTGTGGTGTGTGTGTGGTGTAGGTGATGTGTGTGTGTGTGGTGTGGGTGCTGTGTGTGTGGTGTGTGGGTGCTGTGTGTGGTGTGGGTGCTGCGTGTGTGGTGTGTGGGTGCTGTGTGTGGTGTGGGTGCTGTGTGTGTGCTGTGTGTGTGCTGTGTGTGGGTGCTGTGTGTGTGTGGGGGTGCTGTGTGTGTGGTGTGTGGTGTGGGTGCTGTGTGGTGTGGGTGCTGTGTGTGTGGTGTGTGGGTGCTGTGTGTGTGCTGTGTGTGGGTGCTGTGTGTGTGTGTGGGGGTGCTGTGTGTGTGGTGTGTGTGTGGTGTAGGTGCTGTGTGGTGTGTGTGTGGGTGCTGTGTGTGGTGTGTGGGTGATGTGTGGTGTGTGAGTGCTGTGTGGTGTGTGGGTGCTTTGTGTGTGGTGTGTGGGTGATTTGTATGTGGTGTGGGTGCTGTGTGTGTGTGGTGTGGGTGCTGTGTGTGGTGTGGGTGCTGTGGGTGCTGTGTGGGTGCTGTGTGTGGTGTGTGAGTGTGGTGTGGGTGCTGTGTGTGTGGTGTGGGTGCTGTGTGGTGTGTGCTGTGTGTGTGGTGTGGGTGCTGTGTGTGTGGTGTGGGTGCTGTGTGTGTGGTGTGGGTGCTGTGTGTGTGGTGTGGGTGCTGTCTGTGTGGTGTGGGTGCTGTGTGTTTGTGTGGTGTGTGTGTGGTGTGTGTGTGGGTGCTGTGTGTGTGTGTGGTGTGGGTGCTGTGGGTGCTGTGGGTGCGGGTGCTGTGTGTGGTGTGGGTGCTGTGTGTGGTGTGGGTGCTGTGTGTGGTGTGGGTGCTGTGTGTGGTGTGGGTGCTGTGTGTGTGGTGTGGGTGCTGTGTGTGTGTGGTGTGTGTGTGGTGTGGGTGCTGTGTGTGGTGTGTGGGTGCTGTGTGTGGTGTGTGGGTGCTGTGTGTGTGGTGTGTGGGTGTGGTGTGGGTGCTGTGTGTGTGGGTGCTGTGTGTGGTGTGGGTGCTGTGTGTGGTGTGAGTGCTGTGTGTGTGGTGTGGGTGCTGTGTGTGGTGTGGGTGCTGTGTGTGGGTGGGTGCTGTGTGTGTGGTGTGGGGGCTGTGTGTGTGGTGTGGGTGCTGTGTGTGTGGTGTGGGTGCTGTGTGTGTGGTGTGGGTGCTGTGTGTGTGGTGTGGGTGCTGTGTGTGTGGTGTGGGTGCTGTGTGTTTGTGTGGTGTGTGTGCTGTGTTTGTGTGGTGTGTGTACTGTGTGTGGTGTGTGAGTGCTGTGTGTGGTGTGTGGGTGCTGTGTGTGTGGTGTGTGGGTGATGTGTGTGGTGTGGGTGCTGTGTGTGTGTGGTGTGTGTGGTGTGTGGGTGATGTGTGTGGTGTGTGGGTGATGTGTGTGGTGTGTGGGTGATGTGTGTGGTGTGGGTGTTGTGGGTGCTGTGGGTTCGGGTGCTGTGTGTGGTGTGTGGGTGCTGTGTGTGTGTGGTGTGGGTGCTGTGTGGGTGCTGTGTGTGTGGTGTGGGTGCTGTGTGTGTGGTGTGGGTGCTGTGTGGTGTGGGTACTGTGTGTGTGGTGTGGGTGCTGTGTGTGTGGTGTGGGTGCTGTGTGTGGTGTGGGTCCTGTGTGTGGTGTGGGTGCTGTGTGTGGTGTGGATGTTGTGTGGGTGGGTGCTGTGTGTGTGTGGTGTGGGTGCTGTGTGTGTGGTGTGGGTGCTGTGTGGGTGCTGTGTGTGTGTGGTGTGTGTGTGGTGTGTGTGTAGTGGGGTGTGGTGTGTGTAGTGGGGTGTGGTGTGTTTGTGTAGTGGGGTGTGGTGTGTTTGTGTAGTGGGGTGTGTGTGGTGTGTAGTGTAGTGTGTGTGTGGTGTGTAGTGTAGTGTATAGTGTGTGTGTGTGGTGTGGTTGGCCCGGGCACGGCTAACATCAGTAGCGAGCCCTCGATCCTGGGCCGAACCCTCAACATCCAACCCAACCCCAAACGCGCATTGACCAGCGTGGTGAAGTATGGTCACCCCCCCACAATGACCTAGCTTCATCCAGCAGTAGATTAACAGAGTTACATTGTAATACACTACTACACACGCTAAACCTGTACGGGCGATGATTAAATCCACTGCTTGACCAGGGCCTAGGCTTACCCCACTGTACATGACACGTTTGCACGGCACAGTACAGTGCAATGAACGTTACATAACTTGCTCTTAAATATCACTGCAGCCGTGTACACTAGCGGCTAACACGCAATCTACACGTGTGTGCTAAACAACAACGCGATTTATTGTTATTAATGACGTGTGTGATGCTTATAGCAGTCAAATTTCCGCATTCGTAGCCACGTGTTGTGTTGTAGTTGTGCAGTGGGTGGTCCAATAAGTCTTGTGACCTCCCATTTAATTCTGTAAAAAGTTAATGTGTTTATATTTGCTTTTTTTTAATAGGGTGAGTGTGGTGAGGGTGAGTGTGGTTAGGGTGAGTGTGGTGAGGGTGAGCGTGGTGAGGGTGAGCGTGGTGATGGTGAGGGTGGTGAGGGTGAGTGTGGTGAGGGTGGTGAGGGTGAGGGTGAGTGTGGTGAGAGTGGTGAGTGTGGTGAGAGTGAGTGTGGTGATGGTGAGGGTGATCGTGGTGATGGTGAGGGTGAGTGTGGTGAGGGTGAGTGTGGTGATGGTGAGGGTGAGTGTGGTGAGGGTGAGTGTGGTGATGGAGAGGGTGAGTGTGGTGAGAGTGGTGAGTGTGGTGAGGGTGGTGAGGGTGAGTGTGGTGAGAGTGGTGAGTGTGGTGAGGTTGAGTGAGGGTGGTGAGGGTGAGTGTGGTGAGGTTGAGTGTGGTGAGATTGGTGAGTGTGGTGAGGTTGAGTGAGTGTGGTGAGGGTGAGTGTGGTGAGGTTGGTGAGTGTGGTGAGGTTGAGTGTGTGGTGAGTGAGGTGAGTGTGGTGAGTGAGGGTAGGGTGATAGTGGTGAGTTTTCTCTCATCACAAGTAACAAAAATAAAGATGCAGTGAATCTAAATGTGAGCAAACTGCGTCGTGACACGTGACGATGGGAATGTGACGCAATCGTGACTAATTATATGATGTAGCAGTAGATGTTAATGTTAATAATAACAAATAGGTCAACGTGCAGCGCAAGTGTGATGAGGGAGAGATCGCGTTACACCTGAAGATTGCACAATTACAACATCTGGGTAGTGGTGGTGTCTGGGTAGTGGTGGTATCTGGGTAGTGGTGGTGTCTGGGTAGTGTTGGTATCTGGGTAGTGGTGGTGTCTGGGTAGTGTTGGTGTCTGGGTAGTGGTGGTGTCTGGGTAGTGGTGGTGTCTGGGTAGTGTTGGTGTCTGGGTAGTGTTGGTGTCTGGGTAGTGGTGGTGTCTGGGTAGTGGTGGTGTCTGGGTAGTGTTGGTGTCTGGGTAGTGGTGGTGTCTGGGTAGTGGTGGTGTCTGGGTAGTGGTGGTGTCTGGGTAGTGGTGGTGTCTGGGTAGTGGTGGTGTCTGGGTAGTGGTGGTGTCTGGGTAGTGGTGGTATCTGGGTAGTGGTGGTGTCTGGGTAGTGGTGGTGTCTGGATAGTGTTGGTGTCTGGGTAGTGTTGGTGTCTGGGTAGTGGTGGTGTCTGGGTAGTGTTGGTGTCTGGGTAGTGGTGGTGTCTGGGTAGTGTTGGTATCTGGGTAGTGGTGGTGTCTGGGTAGTGGTGGTGTCTGGGTAGTGTTGGTGTCTGGGTAGTGTTGGTGTCTGGGTAGTGGTGGTGTCTGGGTAGTGTTGGTGTCTGGGTAGTGGTGGTGTCTGGGTAGTGTTAGTGTCTGGGTAGTGGTGGTATCTGGGTAGTGGTGGTGTCTGGGTAGTGGTGGTGTCTGGGTAGTGGTGGTGTCTGGGTAGTGTTGGTGTCTGGGTAGTGGTGATGTCTGGGTAGTGGTGGTGTCTGGGTAGTGTTGGTGTCTGGGTAGTGTTGGTGTCTGGGTAGTGTTGGTGTCTGGGCAGTGGTGGTATCTGGGTAGTGTTGGTGTCTGGGTAGTGGTGGTGTCTGGGTAGTGTTGGTGTCTGGGTAGTGTTGGTGTCTGGGTAGTGTTGGTGTCTGGGTAGTGGTGTTGTCTGGGTAGTGGTGGTGTCTGGGTAGTGGTGGTATCTGGGCAGTGGTGGTGTCTGGGTAGTGTTGGTTTGGCATTGTTGGTATATTTGCAGAGTTGGTACATGGGCATTGGTGGTATCTGGGCAGTGTTGAGTCTATGATGTGCAGTGTTGGTACATGGGCCATCTGCCCTCAAGCACTGTGCAATCCTTACCTCGCCAGCCGAAATTCCACATAATTATTGCAGGGGCTGTTACCTGTCTCATATACAATTTTTAATGCATCTGTGTATGCGTCATGAGCTGATGAATGAGTCACGAGGGTGTGTGTGTGTTAGCGCTAGTCGCAATATTGCATCATGCATGCGAGAAAGCCGGCAAGGAGCAGCTGGTTAGCGCACTGAGCAGTGGTGGTGTCTGGGTAGTGGTGGTGTCTGGGTAGTGGTGGTGTCTGGGTAGTGGTGGTGTCTGTGTAG